ATCCCAAACATACTAGTTTTTTTTAGTTCATATTTTAGCCAAATAGCCAAAAAATTACTAAATTAGCCTGTTCTCAAACGAGGCCTAAGTCATCCCCTTTAGGTGTTTCTCCCTCACCCTTGCTCTCATTGGGTGTACCACCACGGTCACCCTTCTTAGCTCTAGTTACATCAGACGCAACTAGTCGAGGCTTTAACTTCCTTCCACTTCTCAAGGTAATCACCGCTTGCACCTACTCATGGTGCTTTCCGTTCCCACCCGACCCCTCTGCCCCATATTGACCCTTAGGGTTGGTCACAGTCTAACTTGGTAATTTTTCCTCCTTTCTCCTATTCATGTTATTAGCCATTTGACCTAATTGGGCCTCTAGCTTGGCAATGGAGTAAGTATGTGAATGAACTACTGGTGCTAACCCCTTAAGTTCTGAGAGAACTTTTAACACCTGAGTCTCAAAGGCCGAGTTGCCATGAGGAATATGCGGGCGTTGTAGTTACCAAAATTACTAAATTAGCCTGTTCTCAAACGAGGCCTAAGTCATCCCCTTTAGGTGTTTCTCCCTCACCCTTGCTCTCATTGGGTGTACCACCACGGTCACCCTTCTTAGCTCTAGTTACATCAGACGCAACTAGTCGAGGCTTTAACTTCCTTCCACTTCTCAAGGTAATCACCGCTTGCACCTACTCATGGTGCTTTCCGTTCCCACCCGACCCCTCTGCCCCATATTGACCCTTAGGGTTGGCCACAGTCTAACTTGGTAATTTTTCCTCCTTTCTCCTATTCATGTTATTAGCCATTTGACCTAATTGGGCCTCTAGCTTGGCAATGGAGTGAGTATGTGAATGAACTACTAGTGCTAACCCCTTAAGTTCTGAGAGAACTTTTAACACCTGAGTCTCAAAGGCCGAGTTGCCATGAGGAATATGCGGGCATTGTAGTTACCGGTAAGGTTGTGGTGGTCGGTAAGAAGATTGGTTGACAAAATTATTAAAATTTTGCCTTAGTGGTGAAAGATTGTAAGAAGTGCCTTGTGAAGGTGGTCTCCATGAAAAATTATGGTGATTTCTCAATCCCGGATTATATGTATTGGAACATGGGTCATTACTCGGGTTGGAGAATCCTTGAGCCGCATTCACATGCTCTTGGATTAATTTCGGAAATTGTGATGTCGAAGGGCACTCACTCAAGCCATGAGTATGGCTTGTACAAATAGCACATGCCTTGTGAAATTGAGGCTGATTTTGCTGTGCAGGGCCATGTCCCAAAGCTAATAATTGGTCCATCTTGTGGAATAATGCCTCGACTTGTTGGGCTAACTCTAGGTTTTGCCTTACCTTATAAATGTCCCATCTTTTCAGGGCTCCAACTACTAATTGCCAGACTTGTCGGGCTGCAGAGGCATAGTGAAGGGAATTATCACTTAAGTTCTCAAATAGTTGCCATGGCTCAGTGTCATTTTTGGACATGAATGTCCCACCACAAGAATAATCCACCATTTGGCAGTGAGGCTCAGTTAAGCCATAGTAAAAGGTCTGAACAAGTTGCCAATCAGGCACTTGGTGGTGGGGACACTGTTAGAGAAGGTCACGAAGTCTTTCCCATGTCTCATGAAATTGATCGTCATCAATTTGAGCAAAATTGGTGATAGCTCACCTGAGTTGGTAGGTCCTACCAATGGGAAAGTACTTCTTCAAAAATTTCGGCTATAATTGGTCCCAAGTTTTGATAGAATTGGTAGGTAAGGAGTTCAGCCAGTGTTTGGCTTTGTCCTTTAATAAAAATGGAAACAAACGCAACATTAGGGCTTCATTGGTGAAATTCTGGATCCTCACTGTAGAGCAAATTTCCAGAAATTTATTCAGATGTTTGTAAGAATCATTATGAGCTACTCCATGGAATGATGGAAGCATTTGGATGGTGCTGGACTTAATCTCATAATGAGCAGTAGTGGTGTCGGGTAACTGGATGCATGATGGTAATGTATATGCAGTGGGTGTGAAGTAATCCTTAAGGGTCCGGTTGGGCCCATTTAGGCCACTCGGGTTTTGCATCTCTATTGGTTTGAAGTATGGATAAAGGTATTCAAGCCTAGGAACACGGGAAGAGGCTCTAAGTTTCCTAAGAGTCCTTTATAGTTCAAGGTCCAAATTCCAGAATTCAGGGCGACAAGAATGGCGCCCGTGCATACACTACACTACACACACACACACACACACTAAGTTACGACTCTGTGCATTAAGTTATGAAAGCAAAATACCAAAAAAAAGAATACTTACAGCGATTTAACGAAAACACTTTACTCGTCTTGCGGGTGCTTGACGTGTAAACGTTATCCCCAATTTCCACTTGAGCTCTCTAGTTGTAGCACTTTTGGTGCTTTGTTTGCAAATATTTGCTTTTGTATTATTTTTTTTAAAGCACTTTGGTGTTACGGTTTGTTTTTAAAGCTCGATTGCGCTCCCCTCGCACTTCAGTGATGACTCCAATTGCAAACACTTTGCACACTTAGCAACATTAAAATATAAAATCCTAAACTAAAAATTAAAATAAAATTGTAACTTTAAATTAACTAATTTCGCTAGAAGTTTCCAACAACGGTGCCAAAATTTGATGGGTCGTTACACACACCAAATATAAACACTAAATTATACTTCTTTTAAAATAATGGTAAGTCCAGGTATTGATCCACAGGGACAATTGTGAAATTAAACTAATTTAATTGCTAAATTCCTAAATTAATTTTGATTAAAAAGATTGATGGATATTATGACTAAACGAGAATTAAATAAAATTGAGAAATTAAATGGACAATTAAAATTAGGGTTTGAGATACTAATTTTTGAAAAAATATTAAGGCAAAGAATTCATCACTAACCACATAAATAAGACTTAACAACGACCATCAATTGCAATCTGATTTGAACTACCCAATATTTCACAACTACAAGTTTGAAATATTGATCAAGAGGATGGTTGTGTTCAACGTACAGGCACGAGTTATCTCAAGTAGCACGAGGCGTTTGCTTTAAACTATGATAGCAACACGATCCATCTCTCGTAGCATGACTCGTCTCATACTTTGAACATAACGACAAATAAAACTAATGTATGGAAAGCATTAAACAATCACAGAGAGTAAAACACTTGAAGAAATGAAAAAAGAAAAATATTATAAACTTTTAAAGTATCCATACAGTTATTTAAACTATTTCATAATCAAAGCTTTAAGAAAAATTTCTTTACATTGCTAGGGTTTCATCAAAACTCTAAAATTGACTAGCCACTCATGGAGGAGTGGGAAGAGGAAGGGGAAGAGAAAGAAGCCCCTATGGAAGTTGTCCTTCAAGCTTGAGGAGAATCACTATTTTCAAACCCTAGCCTTCATTTTTCTTCAAAAAAATTTCGAACCCTTTTACAACCCCTTTTCTTCCTTTTATTTCTAGTAGAATAGACTGAAAATTTCACGCACGCAACCCTAGGTGGGCTGCTCGAGCGCCCATGTGGGCCACACGTGCAGCAGGGCTTGGCTAGGCTTTTTCGTTCCTCGCACGGAGAATCTGCTTTCGCGTCTTTTTTGATTGAATTTGTGTGTTACCTGCAAAATCTGTACAAATGCACAAAACACATCTTCTCCACAAAATAAACAATATTGAAAGACTAAAAATGTAACTTAAGTGACCTCAATGCGGTACCTTTCGGCCTACATCAGTATTTGTTCAAAATTAAATAATGTTAAAAAAATTAAAATTTTTAATACATGTTTTAAAAATTATATTAAAATATGTAAAATATGTATATAAATATATAAAAGTGGGTAAGAATATGTAAAATGTCTATTAAATTTTTTATTTTTGAACATTATTTAATTTTTAGCCAATAGCCTTTTCTTTTCTTTTTTTAAATACAAAGAAAATCAATAATCATTTGGTCAAAGATTTGTGGAGAAATTATTATTTAAAAAAAAAAACGGGATTTGACCGTTATAACAAAATAAATTTCGTAGTTTTAATTTTATCAATTTAAATAATAATATTTTGATTTATTTTTAATCTAAACTATTTGTCTAATTTTATTAACTAAAACTAATTAAAAAAATGATATTTTAGATATTAAACTCAATAAAAATAGTATTTTAGACATTTTATATGTACTTATTTGAGTTTAATAGCTAAAATAGATTTTTTATATCTTTTTATTTACTAAAAATAGACAAATAGTATAAATTAAAAACGAATTAAAAAAAAATTAAAACCTCAAAATTTATTTTATCACTAGGATTAAACTCTGAGATTTTTTTTTTTTTTGGTGATTTGTCTAAGATTTTTTTGTTGGTTCATTTGAGCCAAACTTTGACCCAAGAGACTCTTTTAAAAGTCCAATATTACTTTTTTGGTGATTTGTCTAAGATTTTTTGTTGGTTCATTAGAGCCAAACTTTGACCCAATAGATACTTTTAAAAGTTCAATATTACTCATACACAATAAAATTAAAAATAAAAAAATAAAAATAAATTACAGATTCAAAATATTCTTTCATCTATCCATATTTATATTTATTTTAATATTTTAAATCATAATTATTATTTATTTTTATAGATGAATAAATAGATAAATGACATCCATTAACTTAATATTTTACAAATATATTTTAAAATATCAACGATTTTATATTATAAAAATGAACCAAAAATAAACCCTATAAATAGATAAATGACATCCATTAACTTAATATTTTTCAAATATCTACCTATCTATTGTTTCTTATGTTGGCAGGTGTTTACTTTTTTATTTAAAATAAAAAGAAAATCACGTAAATGAGAGAAAATTGTTTGAATCTTAAATTTATATCAAATGAATAAAATTTTTATCATTTAACTAATACAAATATATGATAAATATTTTATTTTATTTTTATTTATTTAAATTACACATAGATCGCGTGTGTCAACCGCTAACATCTTAAAATATCAACGATTTACATTATAAAAATGAACCAAAAATAAACCCATAACAGTGCCCGAGGGTTTTACACAATTTTTTAAGTTTTAGAACCATCGAGTCTCCACAATTGCATAGAGACAAGATGATCAGATGAATAATATGTGGAGACACCGTTCAATCGACGCTCACATGAAGACTATCCTCCTTCTTCCCTCTCTCTCATCTTCAACCTCACCGCCATTCTCACCATCATCAACAACAATCAAAGCTTTCAGAACTCTCTTCACACTCTCAAACCCTAGCTCAAGTCTCCTTCCACCGCCGAAGCCTCGCTTTTCCTTTATCCCTCTTCCCAAATCCCCAATTATTCACTGGACTTCGCATCCTCGCAATCACAGTTTCGGCTTTGTCGTCGCCAAATGCATTTCGCCGATTTCGTCGGCGCAGATATTGGAGTGGGACGAGACTGTCTCGTGCTCGCAGGTTGGGGATGGTAACAATGGGGTTGTGAGTGAGCAGGACACGAAGCCCTCTATTGCTGTTAGGGCTTTTTTCTTCTCTACAAGGTTTGTTCTCTCTCTCTCTCTCTCTCTCTCCCCCCGTGGATAAGCTTAACATTTAGGCTCAGTTTGTTTCGCCGCAGAAATATTTTGCCTAATTTTTTTTTTGTTTGATTGACAACATTTGGGTATAAGGTTAAGTTTCATTACTTGCATACACATGGTCATATATGGTTAAATAATTGATGGGAATTAGTTTTTAGAATTGTCTCCGTTTGGTTTAGTTTTTGAAGTTTTGAGTTGTATTTTGAAAGATTGAGTTAGTTGAAAAGTGTTTTGAAATTTGAAAATTTGTTTGGTTATAAGTTTTGAAAATAGTTTTTTGAATGATTTGTAGGTTTTTTTTTTTTTTTTTTTTTTTTTTTTTTTTTTTTTATTTGTGGGGGGGGGAAATTTTTTTTTTGTTTTTGAATAGATGGGTGTGAGAAACTTTGATTGATTAATGAGTAGAAATGTAAGAAAAGGAGCGAGGAGAGAGAGGGAGAGGGGAGAGAAAATGTGATTGATTGGTTTATTAATAATAAAAAAAAAAAAGAGAAGGAAAGAGAAGGGAGGAAATTGGCTTTTGAGTTGTACTTTGAAAACTAGTTAACCAAACAAACTTTTCAATTTTTTCATCCAAATCATGTTTTAAATCAAATGAAACACTAATTTTTGTTGCATTCAATCATTGTCTCATTTTATTCTTGAGTAGTGATATAAAAACAAAATTTATATATAATGTGTCATATTTATATTCACAAATTGAAAGTCAAAATTCCCATTACTTGTGAAGCACGGATATTTCAAATAAGGTGATGTATCCGTATCGTATTCATATCGGATATCGATACTCTTTGTATACTCGCGGATATATATCGGATACTTATTAAAAGTATCGGATACTTCTTAATTATTTTTTCATTAATTTTGGAGTATCGAATACTTAATTTTGAAGTATCGAATACTCCAAATCATGTTTACTTGTTTTATGAAATTAGAATTGTAACATTTCTTGCATAGTAATATAATATAATATAATTGCAAGTATAAACATAAGAATATTTTTCTAGTATTTTGTTAAATTCTTCGATAAGAAGAGCATAATGAGTTAAATAATAGAATTTATCAAATTGATGGATCCTAATTATTTCATGCATGTCCCCTATAACTATATAGAAAGTAAGAATTAACAAGAGAATATAACAATGGTAAAATTAAATATCAATAAATAAATAAGCAGGTAAACTTGAATACAATATTTTTCACTAGTGTCAAAGGAAAAAGTATAAGGACAAGTTGTGAATTGTTCTATTATTGTAATATAAATTTATTAAACTTGATATTGAAATGAAATATTTGCAAGACCTATTAAAAATTTAAAAAGTAAATAAGCTACTAGCTTAAATTAATACAAAATTCTTAAAGGTTAGTATTTTGCATTATAAAATTACATTGTGGTTTCCCAATATTCTTTAGCTTATGTGTAACTCACTATTAATAATTTTAAAAAATATATTTTTCACAAACGTATCCTAGCCATACCGGTATGCTATTTTTTTAAGTTTTGTTGTATCACCATATCCGTAGTGTATCGTATCCGTATCTATGCTTCTTAGCCCATTACTATATTTTATAATTGTAAGTGTCGCTGCCACATCAGCTGTGTTCAATTCTACATGAAAATTATGCATGTATACAATTTTTCTTTATTCTTTTATTTATTTATTTTTAAAGTTTACTCTATACTTGGTTCTTTATAATGATTTTTGTTGTAGAAAATATTTTAAGTGTTAACCAAACACTGGAAAAAAAAAAAAATTTGTTTTATGGGAATAATTATTTTACATGAAAAATATGTTACGACAAAACAAACGAAGCCTTGTTTCTATTTATTTTGATAAACATGTATTGTAGGATTTGAAAAACTGAATTTTATGATGATCTTCGGTGCAGTGTGGATTTGAGAAGCTTAGTTGAACAAAACAAACCCAATTTCATTCCGCCTACATCCCGTATGACTAATTATGTTGTGTTAAGATTTGGCAATGTTAAGCCCGAGCCCAATGTAAGTTATTCTTCTAGCTTCATTGATTCAGTTGCGTTTTGTGGTTAATTTGAATTATTGATGCATTATATGTTCCGAGTATGATTTATATTATGCTCTATTTGGTTGATTGTAGGCTCTCCTATTGAATGATCATTCCTTATAATGGTGAAAGACGATTACATTTGCAATGTATTTTCATTATTTTTTTAGTCAACCAAACATGAAATGGACAATTTGATGGAATAATCATTCCATTCCAGTGAACAAAACACTATTTTACAGTCTCAAATCAAGTGGAATGTTATTGTGTATTTAAAGTTCTTCTTCTTTCTAGCTTAATTGATTCAGTTATAATTTGTTGGTCAGTTCAAATTATCAATTCTTTAGATGCTGTAAGTATGGTTTCCAATAGTCTCAAGCGGGATGCTATTGTGAATTTTATTTAGGTATTTATCCCTTTCTTTGATAAGTATTTAGGCATTTATTCTGTTGATAGTTAGCGTCAAACATCTATTTGAAAAGTTAAATGGGAAGGTGTTTGATAAAATATTCACCATCAGTAAGATGCTATAACTTCATTGTGTGTCTCACTAATTGAAGCTTAATGTGTCCATCATTGAGATAGAAAATTTTAACGCATGTGGCTGGGAAATTGGGAATCATATCACTGTCATATCGTCTCGCATGAGATGCCTTAGCAGTCATATTCCTTTTAGGGTGTGATCATTATTTCTAGAAGGAGAAGGAAAGCATTTAACTTTTTATAGTTCAGTAGGATGGTCCTTTTGCAACATTCAAATTTGATCAATCAAATAAAGTAGCTTAAGACCTTAGCATATTCATCTTTAACTACCACTTAGTTTTAATGCATTAAACAACAAAGTTGAACTGCCCTTATTTGAAGGGAGTCCACGAAGTTTTTGTTTTCATATTGTACTTTGTTTATATCACACATTGTGTTATCCGCTTTCTTGAAAAGCATGGAAATAATACTGAAGCTGAGACAATGCAATGTATGATATACATTGTATCTGCTTCTTATCATATATGGTACATGTTACCCTGAAACTTTTGAATTTTCCCATGCGATACATCGAACTGCATGTGCTTTTTTCTTGCTGAAAGCTGTGTTATGTGCTTCATTTCAGGATGTGGGTGTCAATTTAAGTGGAAGTGACTGCTGTTACATGGTAGTTTTCCAGTATGGCTCAATTGTCCTGTTTAATGTTCGTGATCATGAAGTCGACAGATATCTGAAAATTGTAGAAATACATGCTTCTGGGTTGCTCCCCGAGATGAGAAAGGATGGTGAGATTTGACATAGAGTATCATATAGTTTGATTATGGAATTCAAGTGTCTAATACCTATTCATTTAAATTCTTTTCATAGTTACTTTTCATCTGTGATGTCATATGAACAAAACAAGCAATCTTCATTTTGAATCATTGATAATCGTAAGATTAGCATGAGATTTGTTAGCGATAATATAAGAACAAAAGAATTTGAAGGTGTTGTATTTATTTATTTATTTATTATTATTATTATTATTGCCATTTATGAAGATGCAAAAATGTGTACATTCACAAGGCAACAAATGGTAGTATGGTAAAGTGTCAAGTACGATTGGCAGTGGGCTGGGTATGGGAGAGGGGAGCTGGGAAGGGGATTGCGGAATTGAGAGAGGGTCACAGTGATCTGAGGTGGTGGCTGTGGCCGTTGAAGTGATGGTTATAGTGGGGTGGAATTAGGGATTGAAAGGATTGAGGGGTGTAATCAGAATTTGGGAGGTTAGCGATGAGGTATTATTGGAAATATGAGAGGTGTAAAGAGATAAAAGATAATAGTGTGATTAGAAATTCTAAAACAAGCATCATCCGATTCTCAATCCCAGAGTTAACATTCAAAGACTGCTTCGTGATACCAACAAAATCTCCCCACTCGGCTAATATTCACTGCTCTGTGATACCAATTTTGCTTTATAGTTTATTATACTAGAGAGAACTTGATTCTTTTATACTGTTTTTGTCGTGCTTTTGGTTAAGGCATTACATTCGGTTGTTTATCTTATTATTTGTTGTCATTATATATATATATTTTTCCTGAAGGCTTGAAGATGTGTGTGAATTGTGTTAGATGCTTACTTTTCATATTTGAAACAGTGGAATGAAATTTGTTTTGTGTTTGAAAATTTAGAGTATGAGGTGAGAGAGAAGCCGGCTTTAAACACATGGATGCAAGGTGGATTAGATTACATAATGTTGCAGTACTTGAATATTGATGGAATCCGTACTATTGGCAGTGTTCTTGGTCAAAGTATTGCTCTTGATTACTATGTACGCCAGGTATGTATCATATTGGGTTATTAGTTTCTAGATTGTATGTTTCTGCTATTAAGGTTTTTCCCTCAACACTTCCTGTAGGTTGATGGGATAGTTGCAGAATTCACTGATATAAATCGTGGGATGGAAAAAACTGGAACCTTTACAATGGAAAGGAAAAAGCTTTTTCAATTAGTGGGAAAGGCAAATTCTAACTTAGCTGATGTGATTCTTAAGCTTGGACTTTTTGAGAGGTAACTTTTCAACCACGAGTATTTTTTTATTTTTTTTAAAATATTATTTTATTATTTATTTATTTATATTAAAAGAAATCTCATTGCCATTCAAAAACAATGCTTTCATCATTTTAAAAAGTGTACTTCTATGATATCCATCAGCATTACTTTTTTTTTTTTTTTTATATTTATATTCAATTTATATTTTTCCAATGGCTTTATTACAGGACCGAAACTTTGCATTTGTTTTGGTTGACATGGCTTTGTTGTGTAAAAAGATAAAGAATTATAGGAAAATTTTGAAGTAGAAAACTAGAAATGTATATAAATAAATAGGTTACTAGTAGAATTTAGAAAGAATTCTATAATCGTTTCTCGAAAGTATCTTTTTTTTTTTGAAAACGTGGTCAACCAGAAATTATTTTGTTTGCGTAAGCAGCCCTGGTCCTTTTTGAAGCTAACCCACTTGCCTTATTCATATTATTGAAACAAGATGATGAGATAATTGAAATGAAATGTATGAATAAATGGTGTTAAAAAGCAATGTAGCTGGTGACAAAATACAAAATCCCAAGGTACTAAAATCTTCTCTAATACATATAAGTCGCATATTAAGAACTTCTATAACTCGTTTTCATTTTTCCATGCATTGCTTATATATATATCTTGTTTCCCAAATTCAACCACATTGGGGAAGCTTCTGTTTCCACCAATCAGTCTGGCTTAATTTCTTTTTGAAGAAATCATTATTCTTGTAATTAATATTCTTATATAGAAAATAAGGTGGTTGAACTTGTGACTTAACTGCTGAAGTGGAATGGTCCTTTCTGTGGCTTGACTTATAGTTTGTTTCCCTAACCCTAAACCCTAAATTTAGAAGGAAGATAACAAGATTTGGAAACATGGAGCCTCATGCTGCTTTCTGTGTACAAGATATGGGAACAAAACCTGTGATTACTATTTTTTATTTTGACATGATATATTTTGCTATGTCCTTTCTGTTTCCTTTAATTTTTAGTCATTGCACTAGTTGTTTTTGTTGTTGTTAGTGTTATGGCAAGTCCAAACGGTATCTAGAAGAGGTAAGGGATAATTATTCATTCACATGTTTATTCTTGTAATCTTGTTCACGTTTCATTTCTTAAAATTATAACTCTTTTGCATTAAATACGTGGTTTATGGCTAATAAAGTTTTTTTGACTTATCCAGATCAGACATAGCCTGGAAGGATGCCAAATACGCTCAGATTTGGGAATATCTTAGAGATGAATTTGAATTAACTCAGAGATTTGCCAGTCTTGATTTTAAGTTGAAGTTTGTGGAGGTACTGTATAGCTGTATTGTGAATTTGTGGAGACAACTCTTGTCAGCTAGAGAATTGTCTTCTACTTCCTAATTTTTTTCGTTAGATAAGCTGGAAAACTGTCTTTCTGATGTCATGCTATATTGTTTTGACATTTTAATTTTTTCCTTGCAGCACAACATCCGTTTTCTTCAGGAGATTCTTCAGAATAGGAAATCAGATTTTCTGGAATGGCTCATTATTATATTGATTGGTGCTGAAATCCTCATATCTGTGTATGATATTGCCCATAAGTCCGTGATTACGTCCCTATAGCTGTAGGCTCCACTGATGCTTGAAATCAGAGCTAAGTTTATTTGTGATTGAGGGTAGTTGCTGTGTATATACTCTCCATTTAAATCACTATATGGAATTCATAGTGCAAGTCCTTTTTGTCCCTTGTAATTTGTGATTCGGAATGTCCTTGCAAGTTTGGTGCTCTTTGATCATACGGTAGTATCCTTCTGAATTTGTGATTTTTCCTCCTCTTTTTTTTTTTTTTTTTTTTTTTTTTTTTTTTTTTTTTTTTTTTTTTCATTTTTTTTTTTTCCCCCCTTTTTTTTTTTTTTTTTCACTTGTTACATGGAGAACAGCATTCTTTTCATTTCTACTGAAAATAATGCTTAATTTATTTTTGTTAAAAATGCTTATGCTATAAATCAAGAGGAATATGCATCAAAGCAATTTTTTTCCCTTCCTGTAGCCTGATTTCCCAAGGAATGTCATTAGCTAGGAGAAAATGCTTGAGTCATTGTTTATTTGTTTCTTTCTTTTTGATATTCCAATAGTATTTTAGCCTTAATTTCTCTCAATTTGAGATTTGTACAGAGTACTTTCTCCCTTGTGGTTGGCCTTCACGCCTTCACAACAATGCAGTTTTATTGCCTCATTCTTCTCTGCAACTACTGGCTCAATGTTTTCTTTGTTGTATTTGCTTGTTTATATCATATTCCTCAAAGGTCCTTGTATTGACATTTAAGTTTGGATGACGGTTAATTTGCTGATTGCTGGTTTATATGAAACCATGATCTAGATTTGTATGGTTGTGTAAAAATGTAATGACTTTGTATCCTAACAATAATACTTGATATTGGAGGGCAAGTTCTGTTATAGTTATAGAGTTCAGCATCAGCCGATATGATTTATGAGTGATGTGCATTGGTTTTATGGGTGTGAATATGGGTTCACACTAAACACCTTGTGAAGTATTTCTGGCTTCTTGCTGCCATTTGAGCTGACTATGGCGAATTGGACCTGATCATGTGTTGTTCATAGGAGAAAATGAGCAGTACAGGTATTTTATACTACGAATTGTAGTTTACTTTCATGAACTGCTGAAGGAACTTCAATTAAATTTGATGATTCACAATTATATCTGCAATTTATCCATAGAACTATTGTTTAATTTCACAGAAATGGCTACATATATGTGAAGCTTTTGCAAGAGGTGAAAGGCCAACTTTTGGAGCACACTAGCGACTTCTGACTAGATATGAGCTGGTTATTATAGGTTGGTTTTATTTAGCTATGGATTAAAACTCGGGAATGTTGGGAGGTTCTCTGTCACCTAGTGGGCTTATATATTCATCTGTTTGCACTTTGCAGTTGATTTGTGCATAATCTCTATGGTTGGCTGTGTTGTTGCATGGAGTCGTGTATTGGAACTCAATTTGCAGGAGACGATGGAGAGGAACTTTTCCAATGATTTCCTTTTGGATGTTGCTTTTCAGTTCTCTTAGTGGGATAGCAGCAAAAAACCCCTTAATAAATTCTTTGCAAGAAGATTTTCCGTCACACATTTTGATTTTTTGGCGACTTCTCTTATCCACTTTTTCTCCTGTGTTTCTTGTTCGTTTCTCTTCATCTTTTTCTGAGTCTACCTTTGGTTGCACTCTATAGAGCTTGCTTTCTTTGTTGAACTTTAATATGTAGGCTTTATTGCACCCCTCGAACAGCCTCTCTCCTAGCGTATCGATTATGTAAATCGCATCCACTTCTATCTTGAGAACAAAAAAATGATCATTCCAACTCACAATGTAGATGTCTTCTGCCAGACTTGATTCACTGCTTTGGAGCTCCTCCCATATACTTTCAAAAGACATGGCACCTTGTAGGAGCTCTAACTGATTTGGCATATTTTCGAGTTCAAAGAAGCCTACATAGGACTTTTCATGGACCACCTTCAGTGGTCGAACTTGTGCTTGTAGGACAGTATCAAGGTCAAAGTGCTGATCTGAGAATTTCTCCTTATTAGTCTCTTCTTTGCATAGTTTTCTCCATTCCATAGACCCCTCACTGATCAATTTATCGAATTGGCATCGCAGTGGTAGTATTTCTGGGTTCTGATGCAACCAATCAGCTATAATTGCCGCTAGAACTGTGCAGGCCCCTCCACCTGATGCTTTCTCACTCCGCTGATCAATGGAAGCTAGAAATATTTCCGTTACTAGCTCCAAATTTCCATCTCTGCTTACCAACTTTCTCTTTTCCCAGTTGCCTATCTCAAACCGATCGCTGCCCTTGAATCCAAAAGATTGGAAATCACATTGGACCTTACCCTCACTTGGTTGCAAGAGTGATAGGTGGCAGCGACGGTCGTTATCGATGTCATCCCCGCCATCTTCACCATATGCTTTGTTCAAGAGTGGAGTATCTCTAGGATGATCAGGGACTCTCAAACTAATCCTTGTATTTTTCCACGAAAGAAGCTTGATTAATGAAGATTTATGCATGGCTTGGTATTGCTGGGTTTTCTCTCGGTTCTCTTCCTTGCAGCATTCAAGCTTGTCATCTACAGGGCTACGTAATAGTAGATTTGTTGCTACTAGTCTTCTGTAGCTAGGTTCAGTTTCCTCATCTGATTCTGAAGTTGAGTCATCCATGTTCCTGCTGGTTGGATTCTGATATCTTATGCATGATGATAGAGATGGTAGTAGCTGGGTTGGAGAAAGAGGATGTACAACACTGTCGTGTATCAGTTGGAATTCGAAGGACTTGAGTTTCACCTGTAATTCAGTTCCTGGAAATTTTCTCAAAGTGTTTTGGCAGCAGGATTTGGTAATGCTATGAAAAATTTAATATCGACTTACCGTTAGTCTGGTCACAAGAGTGGAGCTTCCAATGCTGCACTTGACTGGAAATTTGATAATTTTCTCTGAAGTCTCTGTTGGACCAGCATATTTGGTGATATCCATTCTAAATTTGGCCAAAACTGATGCTCTGTTGTCTGATTCCAAACCTAAGCCCTGGTAATTTTTTCATATATAAATTTAAATCCCGATTTAATGATAAAATTTATTGGTAAAGTTGTCATGACCTTGTACTTACATGAATCTCGAGGTTGATCATCTGGCTGCTGAAAGTCTTGGAGTTCTTCATTCTCAACTTGCACTCATGATTAAAACCTTCGTTCCAACAGATGCATCCATTGGAATTTATGCACTGATTGGACGTATGATTTCTTTCGATAGTTCTTCTGGATAGATATTTCTTTCTAGGAACTGGCCATTCTATCTGTACTTTGATGGTGTAATTTTCCTTATTTGGTATTGACAAACCTTCTAGATCACATACTATGAGGTGGAGCTTGAAACCCCATGTTTCTGATGTTGCAGGTGAGATACTCAACTTTGGCATCTGGAGTTCTAGAGTTTTGCAGAGGAGTGTCTGATCTTTTTTGTTCATACTGCCTGAGGAGATGATCAGGTAAGGTCTTATAACTAATTTAGAATTGGAAAATAAGACAAAATTTTGTGTGTTGACATTTGACATGGTGAATAAAAGCATTTTCAAGTCCACTTCTTAGTATGTCAGCAAAATGTGAAAATTAGTAACCCCATTAGGGAGTGGTTTATATGTGACATATCTCCTTTTGACTTTTTCAGCACCAAACCAATTTCTTGTAGCTTTATCGTCTTCTTTTCACTGTTCTAGCTTTGCTCATTGTCTTCTAGGTACAAATAAAATAGTAGGAACGCTTCATTCTTGAACAATGGGAATTTTTTACGGTCTGATCCACTGTTTCTGTATTGAAAATCAAGGGACTAGATTCTAGATCTCTAGGACACTATCCTGTTTGGTTTAGTCCATTTTTTAGAAAATTGAGTTTTTTTCGTATTTTTTTTTTTTTTAGTAAATTTTTTTTTTTATTTTTTAAATGCACTTAATTTAGATGTACTTAAAAAGTTTAATATTTATGGAAAAAATCTTTAAAAAATTCATGAAATACAAAAAATACAAAAACTCAACTCATTTTTGTATTCTTGTGTATTTATTAAAATTTTTAAATATTTTTTCATAAATATTTTATTTTTTAGTAAATTTTTTAATATTTTATAATTTTTTATTTTTATTTTTATTTTTTAGATGTACTTAACCTAAATATATTTAAAAAGTTTAATATTTATGAAAAAAAAATCTTTAAAAAATTCATAAAATACAAAAATTCAGCATATGTTTGTATTTATTAAAATTTTTAAATATTTTTTCATAAATATTTTACTGTTAAGGTGCCTCTAAGTTAGATGCATCTAGAAAGTAAAAAAATTACTTAAAATATTATAAAAATTCACTAAAAATAAAAATAAAAAAATAAAAAGACTCAATTTTTAGAAAATCAATCAAAACCAAATTCTGTTTTTTTTTGGGATGATGTAGAACCTCGCACAACAGGATCTTTTTAGACCACCTCCACTGAGTAAACCTTAAATACTTGCAATCACTTGCAATTCATAAGTATCGGTTAAGTGCAAGAGACATTAGCAAGAATTGAACTCAAGACGTTCAAGTTCATGACTAGCTCTGGAGTTTGCCTTCCTAGCTGCGGGCACTGTGTGAGTTTTCTTACTTGCCCTGGATCTTGATCCAATTTATCATGTTGTTTTGGGATGCTCTGCAAATGTAGGTGTTTAGCCCAGTTTACATAATCCAGTCGAAGTTGCATTCAGGTGGAAGAAAAAGGTTTTAGGCCAAGGAGTTTAGTTTAGCTAATTTAGACCCAGTTCTAGATTCTACCATATTGTTAAATGCTAGTGAACTGCCGCTGGTGTTTTTGTGATGTCTGTGGTATGCTTTAGGCTTTCTTATTACCATAATCTCCAGTGTTTAGGTCATTTTATTATCATGCTGACGGACAAGAAAGAGAAAAAATAAAAATAAAAGGAGAAAAAATAAAATTAAAGGGTTAGTGCTCTTCATGATCTTTGGCTTCCTCCAATTATTCATTGTATTTAGATGATATGTCTGTCTCTATTATATTATCATGCTGACGGACAACAAGGAGAAAAATAAATAAATAAATAAAATAAAGGGTTTGTGCGCTTCATGATCTTTGACTTCCTCCAATTATTCATTGTATTTAGATGATAAGTCTGTCTCTATAGATTATCCCTTTTGCTTAATATATAGGAAAATATTTGAGACCTTAACGCTGTGATTGATTGAAAGATTTGAGAATAGATTTGAAAAGAGAAAGAAAAAATATAGGTAAAATATGAATAAAATATATCTACATTTTACTTAACTTCATACACATTTTCCTTCTCATTTTTTCAATTTTTTCCCAAATCTCTCAACCAAACACAATGTAAAAAGGTACCTACAATTTTACCCACACAATATACTTATATTTACTGTGTTTGGTTTGAGTTTTTTGGATTAAGTTTTTTGAAAACTGAGTTTTTTTTATTTTCGTATTTTTTTGTTTTTAGTTAATATTTTTAAAATTTTAAATATTTTTTTTACTTTTTTAGATGCACCTTACTTAGATGTGTCTAAAAAGTAAAAAAATTGTGAAAAAATATTTTAAAAAATTAAGAAATACATAAAAATACAAAAAATGTACTAAATTCTTGTATTTTTTTTTGTATTTTTGGTATTTAGTGAATTTTTAAAAGAATTTTTTTTACAATTTTTTTACTTTTTAGGTGTATTTATGTTAGGTGTGTCTAAAAAGTAAAAAATTTGCATAAAATATTTAAAAAATTCAGTAAAAACAAAAAAACACGAAAAATAAAAGTAGAATTTTCTGAAAACTATTTTTAAAAAATGGGAACTAAGTAAAGTGATTGATGGTCAAAAAAATATACGGATATTGTACCATCTTATACTGCAACGTGTTACTTTATTGTTTTATGCTGATATTGTACCATCTTGTACTGCAATGTGTTACTTTATTATTTTTGTTTTTAAAACACTTCAATCTAAGTCAACTGTTTTTAAAATTTGGCTGGCATGCTTGATCAGATCAATACTCATTTGTTCTTTGACAATGTTCTATATCTTGTACTGCAATGTGTTACTTTATTATTTTTGGTTTTAAAATACTTCAATCTAAGTCAACTGTTTTTAAAAATTGGCTGGCATGCTTGATCAGATCACTACTCATTTGTTCTTTGACAATGTTCTATAGCAATTTATACATTCTATTTGCAAACTTGTGTATATTTTGTACAGATCTGTTTGATTCTTTTGGTTGTGATTGGATTCTTTTTAATGGTGTATTAGTGGTAGTTTTGGTAAACCTTTACGTTGTGTTTGGTTGAAAAATTTGAAAAGAGAAAGGGAAAAGGCATATGAAACTAAATAAAATTGTGAGTATATTTTATTGACATTTTATATACATATTTTTTTTCAAATCTTTTCTCAAATTTTTCAACTAAACATAGTGTTAGATTCGGATAAGGAGAAAATTTAGCTGTTGATCGGTAAAAAGGAAAAGTGGTTGCAGAAAACAACTTTTCAATATTTTATTTGATATTTGATATTATTTCCCTTCTCAATTTTTGCTGTTTTGTTTAGAAAACAACTTGTCTCTAGGCTGTGCTGAGCCCACAGGTCCAATTTTGATGATATGGTCAGTTATCCGATAATTGTAATCACATGATTTAATTACATCTCATTTTACTTGGTTACACTTTTTTTTAAAAATACTTTCTAAAAAATTTTACTTTCTTATTTTTCTACTTACCCAAAAAAAAAAAAAAAACTTTCTTATTTTTTGTGTTTTTTATTTTTACTGAATTTTTTTTTATATTTTTGAAACATTTTTTTTTTAGACATACTTAACGTAAATATACTTAAAAAGTAAAAAAAAAAAATTTGAAAAAAACCTTTTAAAAACTCACTAAATGCGAAAAATACAAAAAAAAAATGAATGAAAATGCAGTACATTTTTTGTATTTTCATGTATTTATTAATTTTTTTAAAATATTTTTTCACAAATTTTTTACTTTTTAGATACATCTAAGTAAAGTGTATCTAAAAAGTAATTTTTTTAATTTTTTTTTAAAAATATTCATTAAAAATAAAAAAAAAAAACATGAAAATTAAAAAACTCAGTTTTTAAAAAATTTAATCTAAAAAATTCAAATCAAATGCACTGATTTGTTTTCAAAAAAACATAGTTTATTTTTAAAATGATATTTGTTATCTATTTTTTATTTTATTTTGTATAATTTTAATGTGAATAGGTGGAAATAATGTGGCTATAATTATTGAATCAATAACTACTTCTTCTTCTTTTTTTTTTCTTTTTTTTTTTTTTTGAATGATTTACATTACAAAGTGGAACTTATAACCACATGATTTAACTATATTTGTTTTCAGAAAAGCAGATGACTTATTTTCAAAATGATATTTGTCATCTATTTTTTTTTTTTTTTTTAAATGATTGACGTTATTCTTTATTTTGTCCGCAGTGGGTTCCCAGGCATGACTAAACCAGGTCCAGTCCACGCTCCTGGACTCTTTATTTATCATTGGACTAGACGAGTCCAGTCCACACTCCGTTCCGGTCCAGGAACATTTTAAAAAACAATTTATATAAAATTTTGGAGGAGTTACAGCCGGTCCTATAAGCCAGTTTTATTATCCAACAAGTTCTATTCAAAAAAATCAAAGTGTTTTTTATTTTTATCCTTAGACTCAACACTGTTACTCTAAAATTTCAGTGATAAATTCACAAAAACAAACTTATCACTGGTTTAAACAAATTTATTACTAGTTTAAATAAATTTATTACTGGTTTAAATAGATTTATCACTAGGATCTTCTCCCAATATACAAAGAGAGAGAGAGAGAGAGAGAGAGAGAACCCGATGGCAAAGAGCTTAGATCCTAGATCTAGACGTGGAGACGACGATGACTATGGAGGTGGAGGTGAAGGCGGCAGTGGTCGGCAACGACGGTGGAGATGGAGGCAAAGATGTCAGTAGAGGTGGAAGCAATGGTAAAAGTGAAAGAAGATGCCGGTTGAGGTCGTCAGCAATGACGACAGTGGAGGTGGCAGTGGTCGTTGGTGGAGGAATGTGTAGAGAGAGAGAGAGGGCTTCTTTTTTTTCTTTTTTTTTTTTATTTTTCGTCTTAAAATATGACAGCAAAAATAGAAAAAACATAAATGTTCAGGACTTGTAAGTAAAAGAGTCTCCATTAAAGACCTATTAGGTAATCACCCTTAAAAATAGGAATGGCCGTAAAAGTCCCTAAAATTTTTGAGTTAAAGATTATGCTCACAAGAGAATGGAGATGGTTTTGGGTTGTTTTCAAAATGCTTTTGTACATCCACATAACCTGAAAGGTATGGGCCGAATATGGGTTGCAACTTTGACAGCTTTGGCCTTTTTTTTTTTTTTTTTTTTTTTTTTTTTTTTTTTTTTTTTTTTTTTTTGTGGCTCTTTTCTCTCAACAATTATTATTATTATTATTCAAATTTAAGATTCAAAAAGAAATATATTCTTGAAACTTACAGTTAAAATAGATTAGTGCCAAGTTAAGTCAAAGTTTTCGGTTCACATATAAAATATTGCAAAAATTGAAAAGTTATGTCAATAATATCAAATTCATTCATTTTAAATATATAATTTCATATGCAACATAATAGAATTAGGTGACACCAACTTGTCTTTAGAAGCAATTAATATGATAGTTTCATTTAATATTACTCACCTCATGAATGTGGGTGATTAGTTATTTCTACACCCTTCTCTCCTAATCATATTTTAAAGTTTTTTTTTTAAAAATTTATTTTTAGGTTAGGTGGGCGTGGGGGTGGTATTGCTTACTTAGACCTTATGTCATCAACAAAACATCAAATCTTGCACTTCATTTATTTATTTATTTATATTATTAAGCCCTTAAACTAGATTTTTGTGCAAATAAGCCTTCTAACTTTTAAAATTAATCTAATTTAGCCTTCTATTATATTACGTTCACTTTTGATTGTTAAGTTTATTATATAAAACCAATCTGAAGGATAATTGGATGAAATTATTTTTCCTAATATACAAAATTATGTTGTCAACCTGACAAATCTGAGATTGTTGAGGAAGGGGGTGTTGGTTCTATATATATATTTTGATATTAGAAAAATGAATTTGTTATTAATTTTATTAATTTAACTTTCAGTCAAGTGCAAAAAAAAATGAATGAAATGTATCATTCTATTGTTTATTTATTATGTTAGTAGATTTGGGCACACACGATGTGTGATTTTATTACGTGACACATTGTAATTTTTCTAATCTTTGAATTAAGATTTATTATATTTTATTTTATTTAATATGCTTCAAAATGAGGTAAGACAAAACTCTAATTTTCCTTTATATAATCTCATATATATATATATATATATATATTATTAAAAATTAATATTTTTCTTATGCTTTGGTAGCACGTTGTAGGGGTTTACTTTTTTTAAGAGAGCCATGTCAGCATATATTTTCTTAATTATATATAGAGTTTTACACAAAGCCACACCTAATTTAAATTATACTAATTTTATCTATTTTATATGGACTTTAATTGACAAATGTTTCTTTTCTATATATTTTTTTATGGTAAATTGAGATAATTCACAAACCTAATACCAATTTTTTGTTTTACTTTTTTCTTCTTAATTCTTTCAAGGGTATTAAGATTTTTTTTAATGCTAAATTGTTTTTTGTTTTTTTTGTTTCTTCTTTTTCTTCTTCTTCTTCTTATTTTTCTGTACTTTATTCTATACCCAGTAGTAATTCTATATTATTTTATATTATGGATTTGTCGCTTAAATTTTATAGTAATTCTATATATGAAATTATACTTCATTTCTTATATTATTTTATATAATCACAACTCATAGGAAGAAAAATCCGCATAACAATAATATTCTAGAAGAACCTTTAAAGTTTGGATTTATGGCTTCAATTGTTAAACAATAAGTTCTTTTATGTTTTGACATCATATTACAGATGATTAATCACTTTACACATTGAAATGTATCTATCGTTTGGATGTTTTCATTATTTTTTCTTTTTAGATTCAGATGTTATGTGATTCTTTTTTAGTTAGTCATTGTTGATTTTTTTTTTAAATTTTTTATATAGTTGATAGTTTAATTTAATTAAGAGTGTTTATTTTACAATCTTATAATTTAATATATATATATATATATATATATATAATATAAAATCATTATATGATAATCTAAATACAACATATTTATATTTATTTTTTTTAATAAATTTTATATAATTTCTATTTCTGCATATTTTTATTTTCCAAATGAATATAAAAAAAAATTAACTAGTTGGAATTACTTTTAATTTTACAACCATGCCGGGACCATTGGGGGTGACCCCAGCACCTCCCAGCTCCACAGGGCCCCTTGTGAGAGCAAGCCTTACAAAAAATTAAAATAAAATAAAATTCTGAACCAATCAAAAAACAGTGGGGTGGTGGGGGTCACCCCCACTGGGGTCTCAAGTATTATAGTTAATTTTATGTTTCTAATTCTTATTCTAATTTAACTATTATTTTCAATATCAAAATGAGCCTTTATTTTATTATTTTATAATTTAAAATATATCATACAAAATTATTATATGATAATTATATTTTTATAATACAATAAAATTAAAATTATCAAAATATACAAATAATTTAACTAAAATTAATATATATAAGTATTTAAGTAATAATTTTATAGAACGATGGCGCCGATATTATTAAAACAAATAATTAAAATCATACTTCAATTTTAATTTTAATTTTAAATTCAAATTAAAATTACTTTTTTATAACACACATTGTACTATCAAATATTTTTAAAAAAAAACATAACACGTGCGTTGCATGGGTCAACTGTTAGTTGTATATATAATAGGAGAAATTGCATATGGTGAAGCAATTTAAAATAATTGTATTTTTTTGAAACAATTTAAAATAATTATATTTTTATGAAGGTATATGAGTGATGGTTGTATTTCATTGCACATCTTTCACTTAAACATAAGCAAAAAATTTGTACATAATTTTGTATTGAATGATGTGGCTTATTGGCAGATGGTTTTTATTTACAAAAATGATAGTATAATATCATTCTTGTAATTTTTTTATTTTTTTTTAAATATACTTTTTGTATGTATAGAGTTTTTTTTTTTTTAGCACAACTTGAAGTCTGGGCATTTTTGTTTGAGTTCGTAGACCCATCACAAATTTACTTTGTTGATTTGATTTGTTAATTTTCTAAACTCTCGTCTATTAATCATTCATATAAAATTAGATGGATTTATCACCGGTGGTTGCCGAATAATATTAATGACGGAAGGTTGGATAATGTGTTTTGGATGTTGACGGTGATAGGTGTGGTGAACTTCGGTTATTATTTGATTTGTGCCAAGCTTTTCAAGTATCAAAATATTGAGAAGCACGATCAACCTTCTGAATATCCACCTGACTATTGAATAAAAAAACAAAAGAATATCCACCTAACTAAAGTTAAGACTGGGATCTTATTTATCGCATAATGTGATTTTAATTATCACACAATATAATAAAAAAATGAGATCTATATTGAGATTTTATCACAATGTGACTTTATTTATCAAAATTTCAGGATACAATACTCCAAAATTACTGATGATATACCATAGTTACATCTAATGTATTGTATTGGTGACACATCATATGATCATTTTTTTTTTTTTTTTGACTTGACAGAAAACATGTCGGCAAAACTTGTTTAAAAGAAAATCTTGTGAAAATAGCTGTTATTATGAAATTGTTTAAACTTTTTTTTTTTTTGGGAAAATTAGTCTAGAGTCTCTCTCCCATTTTTAATAATGGAAGAGATTCACAATATTATTTTATGATGTCTAAGGTCCCTCAACCATATACCCATATATCACAGAGAAATTTGACTCTCTCAAATCAAACCTCATCTCTCTCTCTCTGTATATGTATGTGTATATATATGTATGTATATGCTTTCTCTCTCTAGAATTCTTTGGATTTCAAGGGCTGTTGTTTTTCTTTCTTTGCGATGACTTAAGAGGAATTACTGCGAAGTTGGGCTAAAATCTAAAGAAATTCTATAGAAATCCAAAAAAAATCTCTAGATTGGAATCCAAAGAATTTCTCTAGCCTTCCTAGAATTTCTCTAGAGAGAACTTCTTTGGGAAGTCCAGAAATTCTCTGACCTTCCCAAAATTTCTCTGTTCGTTTCAAGGTTTATAAGTTGAATGAAGAAGAGCACAGATGGGCTAAAGTGACAGATTTGGGTGAGAGAGTATTGTTGGTGGGTACAGATTGCTCCTACTATGTTTCTGTTGCAGATTTCGATGGATGCAAAGGGAAGAATTATTTTTCTTCTTGGATGAACGTTGCAATCTGTATGATGAAAACTTTTATGATCAATATGATGAACTTAAGGTATATGGTCAATGTTTGTTGAAATTGAATCTCTAGTTGAGTTTGATTTTAGCCGTACAAACATTGCAAAAGAATAAGATGATGATGATGATGATGATGGAATTACAGAACTCCATGCCCATAGATTTTCTCTCACTTTCTCTCTCTTTTTCTTGGTAAAGTGAAGATAAAGAGCATTTTTTTTTTTTTTGATGTTAATGTGTTTTTATTTTTGTGATCTTGAATGAATTTCTCTGGATTTTTATTTGAGTCTGGAGAAATTAAAAGCTTTTTATTACAATTCAGAGAAAATTATAATTATTACAAATTTCTCTGGACTTTTATGTTGTACTTTTTATGTGTTTTTTATATTGAATAAGTTATTTTTCGCCTATTTTGCTTGTGAGTTTTAGAACTC